AATAACTGAATGTCAAACTGTGCAATTTTTTAAGGTTAATTTGTGGCAAAGAAAGAACTATAACCTAGACCTTTTTATCCTGTGGCAGATGGATTTGAGGATAATCCTCAACTTAGAGGTGGTCCCACCCCTAACCCTTGGGAATAGCTCCAATTCTGATTGAGAAGTGCTGTGGAAACATTTATGAAGACAGATTATTGCATGTAAAACTATAATGTAGAACATTATTTGTATCACCCAGATAAAATTCTCCTCACTTGGAGCAGTCTAAGATGATGGTGGTGGTGGTGGTGGTGGTGGTGGGGGGAGGCATCAGGTACAGGTGCAAGGATAAATAGTGCTTTAAGAAACTTGTCTGCAATATTAGAAAACATCAGTCAATGCAGAGAGCAAGTTCAAACACAATGGATGGGAAGCTGCATTTCAGAGAAAAGTGATGGATTGGGAGCTCCAACATTGGGAGGGGGACCAACAGCTCTGTCCAGTCAATGGAAGGAGTGGAACCTCCGAGCAAGCCACAAGGGCTCCATGAGTTTCACATAAACAGCCTACATTTGGCTGGGCTGCCATCTCAGTCCAGAAAAATTGCTTGGCCTCCTCTCCCTGGGGCCTCCATCCCTTCAAATGCTAAACCCGTGGTCCCCAAACTTATTTGGCCTACCGCCCCCTTTCCAGAAAAAATATTACTCAGCACCCCCTGGAAATTAATTTTTTTAAAATTTTAATAGCAATTAAACAGAAAGATATATGTATTAATGTTTCTACCTTTTTCGTAAAATATAGTAAAGAAAGGTGTAAATTAGAAACATTGAAGTTTGAAATTATGAAACTATTTATTGAACTCAGAATAGAAAGGTAATACAAAAAAAGTTAAAACAAATGCACCTGTGGCCATCACCGCCCCCCTGGATCGCTGCAGTGCCCACCAGGGGGCGGTAGCGTCCACTTTGGGAATCACTGTGCTAAACAAAAGAGAAGTGTTGGTTTACTCTTGCTTTATAGCAATACTGCAAACACAAATTAAAAATTCTTGTCCTGTGGCTACATAAGTGTGGGGAGAAATAATTTTTAAAAAAGCCCCCATGTTTTACAAACATTTACATGTAATATAAATATAAATACAATATAATAAAAATAATTATATTATATAAATTTTATAAAGATTATATAAATTAATATACCGGGATCTTCTTTTATATCTGTAAAAAAGAAGATCCAGAAGTTTATATATATAAACTTTCCTGATGAGACACACAAAAACCGTATCAAAATTTTTCTATATTCCTGTGTTTTTCTAGAGCCCTGCATGAAATATAGTAGATGCTTAATAAACAACAGCCATCATCACTATTAGTATTATCTAACAGAGCAAAGTCCTTTATAGGAGTAATATTATTATACCCTACTAGTATGATTTAGAAATTTTAGAGCCTTTTCTATTAATAGGATTTCAAAAGGGAACTTTACCCTAAATAACTCATCTTACACACGAGGAAAAGGCTAAATTGACTTCCTTAAGGTGACATTATGATGTAAATGGTCCTGTCTCTGCAAAATAATGCATAATGGAGCTGAAAAATCAACTCAGATTCTACTTCACTGCTCAAAGAGGATGAAATGTTAACTAAATCCCTAAGGTGAGAAAGGTTGCAAGATTCAGCACCTGAAGACCAACAGAATGCCCAATTCATATGGAGAACTGTGCTAAGTTCTCCATATGAAGAAGTTTATCATATTGATAAGTTTATCACCTTGTCATACAAGACTAATACTGTTGAAATAGACGGTAAACATTTTATTTATAAGCACTACATTTTCAAGTACATTTCTAGGGAACTCTGAAGACCAAATTTAGTTTTAATTATCTTTCATTCAATAGGCATCCAGTAAACGTTAACAAAACAGATATAACATTGACAAGCTGATCACCTGTTCTGAGAAACCTGTTTTCCAAGTTTCTATACAGTTTTTAATGGACAATTACTGAGTCAGTATGGTAGAGTGGGGAAGTCTGACTGTGGAGTTTAGAGCCAAGTCCCACTTTTACTAGCTGTGTGATCTTGGGAAGGTTGATGCTTCTAAACAGCCCTTTCCTGCCGTGGAAGACGTGAGCATTCATTTGGATTCTATTGAGGATTCAGATAAGGTCTACAAGAAGCTCTCTATCTCAGCGACTTACCTTTTTCATCTCATGGCACACATAAACTAATGACTAAAATTCTGCAGCACACGGACAAAAAATATACATATAATTCTGATTCATTCACACCAGTCCTGCGTGTGCCTGCCGCTCTCTGGACCTCAGTGTGCTGGGCGCCTGTTGGCTGTTCCCATGTTCTAATTAGACAATCTAAGGGAAAAGAGGTCAGTGCCCCTGACTAGTCCGGTATTGGATGTTTTAAAAATTCTTGCCACACACCAGTTGAATCACGGCTCTATCCTAGTTAGTCTGATTTAAATAGCACTGAGCTGAAATTGGCCTTGAGAGATGCTGTGGGTAGGAAGCTTATCATTATTACTATAAGGGCATTATTTCAAAGCCTACTCACTTTATCTTCCTAAATACAATTCTGATTAACAGGTGCCCCTGTCTACAAGAGAAGTTAGAATTCTTCACCACCTAACCCCAGGTGGGATACCGCTGCCCGTCTCTAGATAAGGTGCTGCTGTCCTTGCACTTGGTCTTCCTTCCTGGGTCCTGAGGTTCTAGACTCGAGGCCCTATGCTCCCGCACAAGGGGCAGAGGGGCTGTGACTGGGGCGCATAGTGTCTTTCTTCGGCCAATCCTTGTGCCGTTAACGTTCACAAACAGTCCACGCAGGGGCGTTTTCGGTTCTTACTGCCCAACTGAACCACCACACTGAACTCCTTTGCCTCGGAATTCGGCTCCTGGCTCCCTTCGGCCTGTGACTGCGAGGACCCCAATCTGAGTCACGGGAGAGCTTTTTCTCTTAATCTGGAGGGGCGCACGCGCCTGGCCCAGCAGAAATAGCTGGGTCCTCTACATGAGGGCCTCGGCAGCGGCACCCCTCGGGCCGGGTCAAGGCCCCGCAGGCCTTCGCAGCGCCCCGGGGCGCCGGCTTCTTCGCGTCACCCTCGGGGTTTTCCAAGGCGGGCGGCGAGGGGGGTTGGAGGGGGGGAGGGGAGGCGGAGGAGGAGCCGCCGGGAGGAAACCCGCTTCCCGGACCTTTGTAAGTCCCAGGTTGCCCACCCCGGCCGACACCGCCAGCTTCCCAGCCGGGCCACGGTCTCTCCTTTAGACTGACTCCCTCGGCTTTCCGTTTTCTCTAGGGGAGGGGTGGGACTTCCGGCTTCATCTCCGAGCGACTTCCGGCAGGAGATGATGTACCGAAAACAAGACGGCACACAGACCCGTTGGCCATTTGAGGCAAAGAAAAAGGGTACTTGGAGTGGGTTTTACTAAACCGGTCCCGAGATCCTGTATTTTGGCTGTAGCGTCCGGCGGTCGGTTCACGACGGAGTTGTCCAGGGAGCCGCCGGAAGTCGCTCAACGGAAAGGCAGGATGTCCCGCCCCTTCCTCCCAGAGGGAAGACGGTGAGCCGGAGGAGTCAGTCGTAGGGGCAGCAGGAGCGATCCTGTCGGCAAACAGGTAAGTTACTGTCTGGCCGGGGCGGGGGGTTTGGAGGCGGGGACCGTCCAGCGTCAGCGCGGGGCCTGGGGGCGGTGGCTTGCGGGCCGGGGCGCCGGCGGCTGGACGCCGGGAAGCCCCGCCAGGGCCCTTTCGCTCTTCCTCCTCCCCCTTCCCCCCCGCTCCGGCCCCTTCGGGTTGCAAGTCCCTCCCGACGCCTCCCGAGAGGATGCCCCCTAAAAGGCGGCGGGGGGAGGGGAAGGGGGGGGTTCCAATTCGTCCGGCACTGGTTGGTGTCGTTTCCCGGCCCGGGGAGGGTTAAGGTGACTCCGGGGGGTTTCGTTTTTCCCCGGAAGGGGGGGATCAAGGGTGGAAGGGGAAGGTGTAGGCCGCCGGGGGGGGCGTGAAGAGGCCAAATAAACCGTAAGATAGCGCCTCCGGTTTTTTTTTTTTTTGGTGGG